AAAAAAATTCTTAAACCAATAGGTAAGCACTTGTTTTTCGGATAAATAAAGAAATGACTTACTTAAGCGACACAGTTCATCTGTAAGCAACAGTGCATGCTTTAAGTTCCCTTGTTTATACAACGAAAAAGCTAAATATTCCAAAATGTCTTCTAAGCTTGCAGTAGGAACTGCTTCTTGTTCTACACGTTCTCGAGCTTCTTGCATCCACAAAATAGTATGGTAGTAATCATACGCGTCATACGCTGCACGACCAATTTCAAAGCAGTCACTCGCTAGAAAGTGAAAATTTCTAGATAAAACCATCTAGTTAAGATTTGAAATTTTGTTTGTCCTCTTTTGATTATTAATGAATTATTTCACTAAATGGATAGCACATAACATTCTCTAAAATTTCGCAGTGTTAATCAAAACGCTATACTGACCGCTTAAAGTGACGGTTTGCATTCTGGAAGTTAAAATCTTTCCATCAGCAATATCTTTGGTATCCATACGGTAAGTGTCTTGCAAACGCAAAAGACCTATTGCAGCGCCTGATAGATCTTCCTACAAAATGTTTTCGGTACTGAAGACACTACAAGCCTCAAGAAAATATTGCTTCTGTGGTTATTTATAAAGCATTCCTTAAATGATTAGTTTTTATCACATAGCTGAAGAAACTGTGCACTTTACTCATCAGCTGAAAGTAATATTAAACCGACTTTTGTAGGGTAATTTATACTATTGACAGCCCGTTGTTGAGTGACGTTGCGAATAAAATCATCTGCGGAATTGGAGCGCATTATATTTATCACTTCGCTCCAATCTGTTGTCATCTCTTTGATTAATCGGAAAGCATTGATAGGATGGGTTATCATTTCCATGCTATCCTTCACTGCTTTTTCATTGCGAACTGATATTTCGTGCGCGAATCTAATTGCGATATTCATTAAATTTTATTAATACTTACAATAATAATCAGAACATTAAATTCATAAAGTCCATGCAAATTATACAGTATAAGAACACTTATAATGCTAAAAAGAAACTACACAGAATTTCTTACTTTTGTTGTTGGAAACGAGTAAGCAAAGCAATGCATATGATCTTTACTCTAAATTTCATACCTCAATTTAAAATCCTTACTGAATCAGAACATAAATTGGTATGTTTTCGAACTTTCAGTGCGAGTTTTTAATTCAATTCTCATTCATTTTCGTTTGTTTTGAATTGTTTCTCGTAATTTATTAACTTAATTTACATTTCGTCTGTAGCGACTACTTTGTTTTATTAGTAGTTGCATGTAGAAATAGTATCAGGTAATGGTCGGGATATGTTCAGCATTCAAAGTAATAGTAACTAGATATAACGTATATCTACTGACTTTTACTTTATTTAATTCTGTGGAAAGTCTAAAATGTTAATAAATTTTAATATGAAGCGTAAAAGTGAAGTTTCAGATATTAAAAATTTTTACTTTTTCAAATAATCAAGTCTTTGCAGTTCTTTTTCCACGTAACTGTTAATCATAACTGGAATATCCTTCTCAGCTCCAATTAGTGCTTTCATCGAAGCAACCGAAGAGTAAATATCAGCAAAAATTACAGGAATCAGCAAGAACGTATTGCATATCACTAGAGCCAGCATCTTCCCTACAATAAACGCATATCAATAGTGCTCTAACAAGTTAATTTCGTTAAATATTATTGAAAATCATCTGAAAAATTGAAATAAGTAGTTCAATTTTTAGATTTCAAGTCATATTTATGAACAAAAGTTGTTGAGTTCAATATTCATTGAGAGAACTGCTTTTAAAATCTGAGAACGATTGCATTAATTGAAAAAAGGATCGGAACTTTCCTGAGTATTTCATTTACACGGTTCACAAATATTGTGAAAATTTTGATCTTCTAATCACAACTCTTTGAGACTAACTAGAAGGATTTAGGAACAGTCAGTTCTCCGAGCAAATTTTCACAAAAGCTGTGCTTCCCTTACCATAGTTCTGTATGAAAGGTTACGGTAAAAGTGAAATCAATTTAAAGTAATATTGTGACGATTGTGAGCAATGATGATGATATAGACAATCTACTGCAAGGGGTACAGCTTATATGAGTGAAGCTGGAAATACAAATGAATCAAGCAAGGAGCACTGTTTATAAGTGAATTGTTTTCGCATCTTTACTCACGTTATGTTAGTACATTGAATTAGTTAGTAGGACTTGGGACTATAAATAAAAACCAAATTTTTGTATTTCGGAGAATGTCTTAGCTTGTTTATTTTATTGTCGGCGGTTTTTTACATAATACCGTTTACGTAACTGTTATAACCTAATTATTGACGCATTCACATCAACGTAGAAGATAAAATAAGTTTGAAAATCATAGCAGTGTCAATTCTTCCAGTCAACTTCATCAAAATCAGACAGATTAGTGAACTGTCCTTATATTTAAATTATTAAGTTTTTGTTTAAATGATTGTTAATCTTTGCTTGCATAAGCCGAAAACTTCACAAAATGCAGCGTAAATAGACTTCTAAATTTATCAGCGGTATACAGTTGTTATTGCTATCTTTTAATGTGAGCTGACTTAATTTGATTGCAATATAAGATGACTTTATTTTTGATTATCACGCAGCTTATCACGCAGCACATAAGATAATGAAAGTCATAAGTACGGAAAAAAGAAAATTTTCAATTGTTTGTGGGGAATGATTGCCTCGGATTTTTTGATCACTTAGCGAAGGCAAAAAGCAGTGAAAAAATTGTAGGTAAGCTAATCGCAGAAAATGAAACTAATGCATAAAATTTATCACAAAAAATTGAGTCTTATAGCGACGGACAAAATGACAGTTGGGTGGGGAGTCATATAAACGTTTACTTTACAAATATTTGGGTCACAAACACTCATTATCATATCAGCAATCTTGCCAAAAATCTTGAATGAGTAACTCGAAGTACATGCTGTTAGATGTTAGGATAAGTAGATAGATTTGTGGTGCTGATAACTTTTGCTTTGTGTACTTATGAATACCATTATCCGTTACAAACTCCGTTTGTATCATAAAACAACATCGAACACAATTACAGATATCCATAGAAATGTCAATGCAAAAGATATATATTTATTTTCTATGTAAAAGTTCTTTAAACTGATTCTAATTTCGCCTTTTTAGAGGGAGACTTATGCAAAGCTTCAATTTCCATTGATGAAGTGGTAAAAATGCATGAGACAAAAACTAAGTGATTTGCAGGACTTTACCACTGTAACTGTATATGAGCAGTATCAAAAGTTGCAAATTTTTTACTTACAGGTATTCTCTTTCTCCAAAGTATGGTTGTCTCTTTGCAGATATTTGGAGAGCTTCAATGTTTCTAGGGTTTCCAAGTCAACAGTTTCATGTAATTCTTCAAATCAATTTACATGCTAATTATTTTGTCAGTATTAAGTCTTGAAAGATTAACTCATTGTGAATTTTGATTTTTTGATTAAATCTGCCGAATATGATGGAATTTGTAAAGCTACATTACAGAAGAGCAGAAATAACACATGGAGAACCTCTCCTAATCTGTTTAGTGGTAATCTTTGGTACCGAACCTATTTGATTACATTTTATATTGAAATATGCCAAGTTTTCTTACTATAATAAAATTTCGGTACTTTCGCATTTTTATTTCAGATCAATGCATATGAATCTCTGTCATTCTTGCAAACTTATTGGCCAAATTTGTTAAGTCTCGAACTAATTCGCATTGAATTATATAGTTACAAACTATATAACTTGTGTTAGAGAGTATATATGATGCATGAAAACCTCTTCTCTCGCATGTCGCGCCTAATCTGTGGTTCGTCAAGCAAGCGGTACACTTATTTGTTTACACTTATTTCTGCTTGTCTTACGACCGCGTCATTGTCTATT